CTCTAAATATGCTCATAATTATCTAAATAAAGTACTTTTTAAACTATCAGTGTAACTATGACAGTTTGTTAGTGTTCTAATGTGACCGATTATATTTTATGAACTACTATTTCTCATTGCCTTTATTTGGCAGTAATGTCTTAATCTTCCATTTTTATTAAATCAAACATGGAAAGATCTTAAATCCTTGAAGGCCAGATGTGGTGAGACCACCACAAAACACTGAGTAGAACCAGAATGGAACCACCCATAAGGGAGTGGGTTATGAGAGTTTCTGTTTCCAAGCTATTCTTGGATTTTTTTTTTTTATGGCTGACAATGGATCATGTCAACATTACGTTTTTAATTTAGGCATGTTATGAAGAGATTTAGTGGATAAAATCTTGTATAGTGGTCATCATAGGTGGTCCTACACCAAAGTCTGATAGAGAGCCAAAAAATACTGACAGCTCCAAATGGCAGAAGAGATTAGAAATTTGACCAATATAAACTTCAGTCACCCTGTCTGTTTCACGTCTCTGTAAAAAGGGATACTAGAGGCTGAACAATAAAAAAAAACATCTGTGACTTTATCTTTCATTTTATAGTGATGCCTTACTGCTGCTGGTGAGACAGTTAAAGGGAGGAAAGAGAAGAGAAAACAGAAGGAAGAGGAGGACACACTGACAGGATGTTCTGGTGAGTTTGGACCGTGCTACAGATTGGAGCAGACAGTGACAGACCAGTCCAAGTGAAAGTCCAGCATATGGCCCATCTCAGTGGGACACTGGGCCCTCGACCACAACACCCCCTGAAATATTTGGTTTCCCACTTGTCTGACTTTACACCCACGCGCTCACACAGATGATCCCCTCCAAAGGAAATGAAAATGAAAGAGTCAAAGAAGAATGAAAAACATGATCATTTTCATGGCAAGCAAGTGAAGGAGAGTCTTAGAGTTCCCTTCTAGGGTCCCAGTGGCTGTGTGGGTGTGCATCATCACAACAGTCTTAAACAATGTGCTGAACCAGATACAACCTCGGACATAACGTCACGAAAATTACTGCCTCTTTCCTGAAGCCTATACTTGCCAAAAGACGGAGATAAAGTGGTCAACGAGGGTGAATTAGATAAACATTACATCTCGTCTTGAGCACCAGGGACATAATCTTGCTATGGAAACGCTGAATCAGAATCTCAAAGGGATGACAGTCACTACTTTACAGGGTGTTAACTGCAAATAAAGTAAGCTTAGTAAAAAAAAAAAAGAGTCAGTTAATGCAAACTGAAGTGGGATTTGCTGTAAAATAATCTTGTTTAGGTCTGTCATTCTCTTTCTAGCAGTAGCTTTTCAATGAGATATTATAAAACAGACAGCCAGAAAGAAAAGGGGGAAAAAAGGGGCCTATAGTGCTGTAATTTTATATTTACAGCACAGTCATGACTATCATGTAATGCGGAAACAGCCAACAGAAAACTGGGAAAAGAACTGTTTCTTCACCTTAGGCCAGGGGTGAGCAATCCTGGTCCTCGAGGGCCACAATCCTACATGTTTTAGTTCTCTTCCAACACACCTGATTCAAATGATCCGGATCGTTGTCAGGCTTCTGCAGAGCTTGATGATGAGCTGATCATTTGAATCAGGTGTGTTGGAAGAGAGAAACGTCTAAAACATGCAGGATTGTGGCCCTCGAGGACCGGGATTACCCACCCCAGCCTTAGGCAGTCAAAAATATTCCTGCTAATGTAAGCCTCAGCATGAGAGGAGTTAATATTAAACTGTGAGGCCATCTAGTGGTGACTGACGGATGTGTTTCTATGCAAATAGTGTGTAATGGGAGGTATGAAACATAAGAACCAGGGCAAAAAAAAACAAAAAAAATATCCCATAAAATTGAAGCTAACATGTCATTACATAGAAGAGAGCATAAAATAAGCTTCAATCATAGTTTTGGGGGTGAAAAAAAAGTCCTTCCAGCTCAAGATACAGATCACAGCAAAATCGTCTTCGTACTATCTTTCCTCGCATTGCACCATCTCCATCATTTCATCATCACCTCATCATCTCCATCATGCAGAAGGAACCTTTTAAACTCATCGTTTTGCCTCAGCTTTTCGTTTCATTTGCAACCCTCTCATTCCCTTGTCACCGTCAGACTCCAGAGGATGACCACCTGTCCAACGGTCAATAGCAGGGGGTCAGAAGTTTGGTGAAAACCAATCCTCCCGAGGGAAGTAATCAGAAAAGTGCAGGCAGCTATTTAAAGACTTGTCGATAATTAGGAGGCATGAGTGGAATCCCGGAGCCATGTTCTTTCAGCATAAACACACACGCCATAAACCCACGCACAAACCTCTCAGCAACCATAATAGATACGTTTGGCTTCCCTGATCCTGCTGCTTTTACTAAAACCAAGATGGTCATGTTTAAACGCTGATTCTTTAGTTTTGCAGTCTTGTTTTCGATATTACAAATGAAACACTCAGATACACTGAAATACAACAGAATGCTGCAACATAGCTCAGGTTTTCTGACAAAAAAAAAAAACCATGGCAACCTTTTTAGAAAAGTCCTTTCCACAAGTATAAAATTAGACTAACAGGTTATAAACAACATATTTCCACCAGGTGTAAGTCTTAAAAATCCATTTTGGCAAATCCTTTATCTCTCCCAGGGGTTGAAACAGTCTGCTGCAGCTCCACTTTCTCCCTTCCCAGTGTTTATTAATAAACCTAAACAGATCCAAGGTAGTCATGGTCACACATAGCAGCACACAGCGACTGAGAGAGAGGAGGCTGGGTCAACTGTCTTTACCCCCCGCTCCCCTCCTCCTTTCTTAATTTATCTGCACTGACTGCTCCCGCTCATTCTTTGCTTTGTCGTTTGGACCACAACTGCTGTTCTTGCTCTACGGATTCCTCATTAGGATACAGCACAAGGACACAGGAAACAGGGATACATGCTTGGAGGTAAGTTCAATTCTATTTGAAGTTGACATAATGATGGCTTGTGAACAGAACAGAAAAAACTTAAATTACACTCAAAATCAGACACTAATCATTCATGTGTCTCCTAATGTTTCAGTAAATGTGTCCGTATTACTTTAGCAATTGAAAAATCCATGTCAGATAGGGCTTACAATGAAGGGCTTTTTAAATTGTGTTGTTGCTAACTGAGGGAAACAGTTCTGCTTAACCTGGTCATTAAATGTAGGCCACTGCTTTCTCTGGGTGGTCGAGTTCAAAAGGAATGTGTGTTGTGCCAACGCCTGTCCTGCAGCAAGACAGCTGGTCACTGTCATGTCTTCCTCAGACTTTTGATCTGACATGTAAAGTCAAAGGAAGAACAAACTTTCTGGCTTCTACAATCTACATACACTGACCTAGTTTCACATAAACACACAAGCTGTGTGTTGAACTTTCTTGGTGGAGGTTGTGGCCAAGTAACAGGAGCTATCACATGAATGTCCCACTTGTCTTCCATGCCCTTTCTACATTACAAATCTGTCTGATGACACTATTGGGTCAAATTGATGAATTTACTCTTGCAGAGTCTGGTCAGTCTTGGCAAACACCTCAAAGAGTAAAATTACAGCTGTATTATTCACCGGGGGAAAGTACAAATGCCCATCCAGTGGCAGGCACAATGACATGTTATGACAACCTGCCGGCTAATGTAATCTGTGTAATGCCACTTGTTGGAGCGTCAGGCAACAGACATCTGTCTGTGTTTATATTAGTTGTGTTGCGGTTTGCAAGAGTAGAATAAAAGCATGAGTAGGCTTGTCTGAGGTGTGTGTCTGACCATTACCAGGCAGCGAGTTTGTGACTGGGCGTCCAGCCTAAAGGGGGACAGCTGTCAATACCGTACCCTCTGCTAAAATGTGCCCGCTGCTCCAACATGTCCACATGTGCTAATGGCATCAGCATAGCTAACAAGCCTGCCCAAAATATTAACCCAACACAAGCACATCATCAGTGCAGGCCAGGCCTACTATTTGTGACACGCAACATGATGCCAACATTTACAGCTATCAGCTTTAATATGCACCAGCTAACATCATTCATGTGCTTCTGTCAAGGCATGAGACGGTTCTAAAGGAGACTTCTACATCAAAACAGACTACAAGAACTAAGCCATACCCATGGATGATCTGGATGAGAACATTTCATCTACGGGGTTGGAGCCACTCTTCATCAAAGAAGAGGAAAGGGAGCAAGACAGAACCGTCATGGATCAAAAAGAGTGCAAGGCACACCTATCTGGAGTCACCTTCGCAGAACAACAGCTTAAACAATCCACTTTAATGAAGCCATACCTGCAGGAGATGGATGAATTACTAAAGAGCTGTGAGGAGCTCACAGGTATTCCCTTTGGCTCACACTACTCAGAAAGTTACACAGAACAAAGTCTGAGGGAATCAAGTCACAGTCAGGGCAAACAGGAAGTCACAACGGAAAGCTATGGAGAGACCTGCATATCTCCTCAAGCCTATCTTTCCACCAGCTACATTGACACACATATGGACGGAGCCGGTACAGTCGACCAGCCAGCACAAGACCAGTCACAAAGCATGGGCACCGTCATTGACAGGCGTGGAACCATCACAGAAGTTTCTCGCCAGACCAACATGCCTCTCACGTCAGCAGGCAACAAACTGAGCAACACCATGGTGGAGTATGAAGGGCAGCTTCTGGGGATGTTGGCCATGCTGGAGAGCTGTATGGAAGAGGCTGGAATGGATTTTGAGCCCCAGGACTGGGTTGCAGAAGAAAGCCAAGAATATGTGCAAATAAGCAAGAATCATCATCTTTACAGGGGTACGACACTGGTGCCGAATCAGCAGGAGAGACCCCTGAAGTCGGAGACCCAGCCAATGCAATTAGAAATCTGGCCTGGTGAACGTGTGGAAGGAGATGAAGTTTCCGAGGACAGCAGGAATACAATGCCAGTAGGTTCTGCAACAAATGGAAGCCAGCGAAATCCCTTTCACAGCTGTGAAAACATGGATGGATTCTCACTGGAGAGACTGCAAAGGCCTGGTAGTTTCCAAACAGATCAGGGGGTCCTTGATATGCAATTAAGGTTTTCAAGACCAGCAACAACCCTTGATGCAACAGAAGACGATCCAATGTACTGCGAGGGGATGCAGACGGAATATGTGTTTAATGAAGGCACGGAAACAAAGGGAGAGGGAAGTGCGATTGACGTAGATGACACTGAATTGTCAGCTGAAGACAGACATGAGCTCAAGATGGACACCACTGACGTGGGATCTGGTACGAATGAATTAGGAGATCTGGGGAGCCGGATGGAGGCCTGCATAGAGGAGGTGGAGCGGTTAGAAAAAAGGAGGAGGGAGCTGCTGGTGGAGGTGCTGCAACTAAGACAGCAAAAAGGCCAAGAGGAGGGAGAGGGGAGAAATGAGGAAGAAGAAGAGACGGAGGAGAGAATTGACAGCAAAGTGGCAGAACTGATGAATATACTGAAGAGGGAAGAAAACGGAAGAAGGGAGGAGAGGAAGCGGGAGATAGAGAGCCTCAAGGAGGAGAGGGCAGAGGAGGAGAGGAGGATGTGGAAGGTGAATGTGGAGAGACAGGGGCTGCAGGAGGAGCTCAGGAAGCTGAAGAGGAAGCTGTTTGCAATGGCCAGGGACTGTGCCCACAGTCAGGCCGCGCTGAACAACCAGCGCCGCGAGATGGAACTGCTCAAGAGAGAAGAGGTAAGACCCTGTTCAACAGATATCTGTGTGGCACGTTGCCAAGCAAAGCCCTGCATGAAAATGTCTTTCCTCTCATCTTCCAGGAGAAGCTGAACTCCTTGGTGCTCCAGCTGACAGAGGAGGGCAGCCAGCTCAAGTCAGCCCAACAACAGCAGCTGTTAGACCTTCAAGTGCTGGTTCAGGCCCAGAGCTCCTTGCAGACCTCAAACACTCAGGAGGAGCTGACCGAGTGCAGGAGGCATTCATGTGGGGACATCCAGCAGTACCTGCAGGGCGGGCTGAAAGCACTGGAGGAAAGGTGCAGTCAGCGTTCTTGTGCTGATTTTGCCTAAAACCCTGTTTTTAAAAGATGTATTCGAGTACTCACCCATTAATTTTCACACGTACCACACAGGCATTTGCTGACACTGCATTTTCAGGCATAAAAATCTGGTGATACAGTTTTTGGACTGCAAACTCTTCAGTTGTTTGCATTTTCAGGTATGAACCTGTTTTGCTGGCATTGCTGAAGAGGAGAGAGGCAACAGCCGGTGCACTGGTGAAAGCCAAAGAGCAGGCTCAGGAGCTGAGGGCCCAGCTGGGACCTCTGAGAGAGGAGATACAAAAACTGAAACTGCAGAAGGCTTGTTTGGAGGAGAAACTCAAACTCATTCACATACACAGAAGAGAGGATGTGGGGCAGTACAAGGTAAGCAAAATGACAGGCATGAAAGGGGTGTAAAGAAAAATGATATATAAAAGAAATATATGAGGGAGAAGCAGCAACTGGGGGACCATTGGAATGGGGCAGTATACATGTGCATAAGCTGCCTGCCTGTTTAGGAGACGGTGTATTTTCTGGAGGAGAGGAGCAGAGAGCTCAAGATGGAGTTAAAGACTCAGAAGAGAAACACCAACGAGATGGAGGAGCTGAGAGACCGCCTTACCAAGAAACTCCTGCTTTACAGGTGAGTTACTTATCATGTCTGTACCATGCATTAAAGCTTTTAAGGTCATAGCTATAACTTCATTGTTTTTCTTACAGGGCTGCCATCGAGGACCACAACAAGTGTGACCAGGACAAGAAAACATGATTTTGTGTTGTTGATTTTTAAAAAGAAAGAAAGAAAGAAAAAAGCTCTTTTATAAAAATTTTCAGTATTTTGTATCTGCAACATAGTGAAATCCAAGGATTGAATTAATGCACTTTACACGTATAGACATGATTTTGTTAGAAAAAAAAACTAGGATTGACAATTGTTTTATAGAAGTTTGTAAAGATGAACTAGACTGCAGCATGTAGAGACTTTTGTTATGAATAAAGGCCTATAATCTGAGCAGGACTGGTGAGTTAATATTCGTCTCTAAAGAGCAGAGAGGGCTTCATGTACTTATAAGGGCAACATGTCTGAGGAACTTAACAGCGAGGACTTAATAACAAAGTAAAGAGCACCAAGACGTCACAGCAGACACACAAAACAGGTCTGAGGAAAGTGCCATGAGTCATTACTGGCACTTTCACTAAAAGGATAATAAGAGATTGTTTAAAAATACCTCCACGGTTAGCAAGACGCCGACCCACTTAGCAAATATGTAAACGCTATTCTATAAAAACACCAGCAAATACGTGAAGTGCAAAGAGAGATTAAAGACAATTTATTAAGAATGATCTCACTGTACAAATGCAAAATATTAAACATAGAAAAAGGAAATTGTCCGCTAATCTATACGACACTTAAATGAGTTATGTATGAATGAGGCAAGGGAAGATGGGAACACAAACAGACAGTTTCAAATACAGATTCACTCTAATTTAATTCAAACAGCTGCTGTAAAAACCGGAACATTTACTGTTTCATGTCAGCTGGTATTGGCTACGCTGTCCAGAGGCAAAAAAATAAAATAAAAAAAGGAGATGAAAATAAGCGATAACAGCTCATCAGTCTTGTGAGTTAAATGTTCACTACATCAAAACTTATTTGGAAAAGGTGTTTTCACTGTTTTAACTGTTTTTCTCTTTCAAAAAAAAAAAATCCCCAATTTGCTGTTTCCATTAACATTTCTAAATGCTTCAAAATGTGCATAAAAATACATGGAAACACGGCTTATGTTGTGCAATGCGTCAAATGCTGGCTGGCGTTTTTTACTTAAAACATTTTTTCCCTCCAACAATATTAGGCTGTCCGTATGATCACCTTTTTTTTTTGTATTTGAAAAAGCATTTTGCAAAACATTTCAGTGTACAAGGAAGAGCCAATTTGATTATAAAAATATTCATATTTTAGGTACATTGCAAAAACCATGGGTGACATCCTTCAGGCAGCAAGTTAGTGAAAGGAGAGGTCCTCGCTTTGAGTATTCCGAATGCGGGAATGGCTACAAGCGATGACTCTCCTTTCAGTCTTGCAGCGTAACAGTGTCCCACTGGTAAAGCAGAGCAGATGGAAGAAACAGCTGCGTCGAACTACTGAGGTGACGGTTTGTGAAGAGGCTGCAGGTAAATGCGCGCAGCAGGCGGACATGTTAGCCTGTGGCTTCAGGGTCTGTGGTACCCTCAGGATCTTCATCGTTGTAGATGTTCTCAGCCTAAAAGGAGAAACAGTGTGTCAGTCATTCAGCTTTACACATATTTACAAGTCACTGGCAATTTGTGATTGCAACACAATCCAGAAGATTAACTGTTAGGCAAGTGAGCTGGAAGTAGAGGGGCACACTTTACACCCCAGTCCCCTATTATTTTTAAGCCACTGTCTCTCATGCAGTATCATACTTCCTGGCTGACCTATCACCTGCATATTCATCTGCTGCAGACAAGTTTGTTCACGTTTGTGAGGCTGACTCTCTGGAAACTCACATTACACCACTGAACCACTATATGACCAACAGTAGGTCACTTCAGTTTAATGGTTGGCCATAGTTATTGAAAGTGAAGTCTGCATTTGAGGAGGTAAATCAAATGGAAAGACAACAGAACATCCTGGGAGACAAACTCTGGGAAACTAGTGGTTTGTGATTTGCAAATCCCACCGATCTACGTGACCCGCGGGCTCAGAAAAGCTTAAGTTCTACAGGCACAGTCGGGTCAAAAAGTGACAGAGCAGCATTCTGTCTAAATTATAAATAGGCAACATGCACTCACAGAAGACTGGAGGAAGATCAGAAAATGTTAAATTCCTATAATTTCATCCTTTAATAGGCCATTTCTAAGAACATTCCGTAACCAAGCGCCAGTGTTGTTGAAAACACACCACACACACCAAAATACTTCCAGGGAACCGTGACAGATACAGTTTTAGATGTTTGGTGTAGTTTAACACTCAGCTCTCCAAACGGTGAGTAAAAGCTGTTAAAGCATAGAAAAGTCATTTTACGTGCTGGATATCTGGTTTGCTTTGACCTCTGAAGCACTAAGACACACGGAACAGAAAGCTTTACACAGTCTCACACACACAAACAAAAATGTGTGCATGCTTTTTTTTTTTTTTTCGGCTCCCAGAGTTCTGAAATGAATCTGGCACCTTTGCTGTGAGGTTTCCAAAGAGCCACATTTGACACACTACATTTTGTAACTGCTGGCTTTCCTGACATTTACTACAGTACAGTCTTACAATATAGACGAGTGTTCTTAGTATGAAAAGGATTACTGATGGCACACACAAATGGGTTAGTACACTCACCATTCTGGTTATTGAGTCTCCTCATTTTCTCTCACTGAAACATTTCAAATGCTACAAAAAAAAAGTTCTTGGCTGAGATTTTCTCTTTGTAGCTGAAATGTCAGGAACCTCAAACGACTTTTCCCTGGCTGCTCTGATGCACGTTATTGTTATGGGAGGACACTTGGGACCTTGACAGCAGCTGCCTGTCTGTGACCTTAACATGATGTCAGACAATGTACTACCCTGTATCTTGTCTTCAAGGGAATCCATTTCTCTTTAAGACAATGCAATAGAACGTAATAACCACATTCTCTGACTATCCATAAGCGACATGCTTTAGTAAAATGTGATCACAGTTGCCTTACCATTTGCCAGACTTGCATGATGTTGTCTTCAGACACGGAACAGATGACCCAAGGCTCGTTGGGATTCCAGGAGAAGTCTGAGATCTTGGCTGTGTGGCCTCCATGGATGAACTAGTAAAAAGATGCATTAGCACGATGTTATCTATCAACACAAGATGATTGTATCAATAAAGACACAAAACATGCGCAGGCTTCAATAACACTCACCAGCAGCTCAGGCGGGCCATCCTCTGCATCTTCTGGTGACTGCTCCTCTCCAATTTTACTGCAAAAGCAGATACACCAGTTAATAAACCATGTTACAATATGACCAGCCCCACAGGTTCAGCTGGATGCAGCTACAACTGTGGCACATTGCGATTTAAATGTTTGAAATCTTTCAGAAATGGAATGACTTCAAGGAGTCCATTTTTCAGAAGCCATATTTCCAATAACAGAACTGCAGTACGTAGGACCGTACAACTAACTGAATTTTTATCGTGATAAGAATTTTGGCTTCCTTCAATTAAGTTAGCATGTTCAACTGTGATACTGATGTATAAAATAAGAGCTTCAGTCATATCAAACTGCACATAAAAAAACTCCACGAACAGAAAACAGCCAATGTAGAAAACAAAACATGATTTCAACATGGATACTTTTTTACATAAGAATGTTGTATTTCACTGTTTTCAACATTTTTTTCGGTCACATGCCTAATTGAGTTGATGCTTGGCTTTACCTGAGAGGGGAAACTATCTGCACACCTAAAGTCTGCCTTAGTCTGCATGTGAGCCGTTTCGACAACATCAGTAAATTGTAATGTGAATCGATAAGCAGACGTTCAGCAAGTGAGGGATTTCGGTACAGTCTTATTTGTATTTTACCTAAAGGAGATGCACTGAATTCAAGAGAAGAACCTTTTTTCTTTTTTTTTTTAAAGTCTGATGTTGATGCGTTGTCACAAATATAGCACAACATGGCATGTGAGGTGTGGGCGAGATGATCCTTTCATAGGTCAGTGGACATCACCACAAGACGGGTAAAATGTCAAGTTCTTTACCTGAGGTCCCAGACATTGAGGCGGCGGTCTGTTCCGCTGGATGCCAAAATGGTTTCGTTATGAGGTGACCACTGAACCTGAAAAAACAGTCAAAGGACAGAAGTTAGGTCAACTGGAATCACAAAGAATTGTTAGGAAAGTTAATCTGAGACTCCATGTGTTTTCTGAGCAAATGGGAGAGCTTTAGAGTTAGAACTTTTTGACTTATCCATCAGGGAAGTCAAAAAGTTTAAAGAATTTTAATCTTTTAGCTGATCATACAGATTTTTACACAAGCCACCCCACTATCCTTGTTTCAAGAAAGTTCATACATGTCTTACCTGGAAGATCTCATCCTTGTGTGATTCAAAGGAATGCAGCTTCAGTTTCAGGTTTCTCAAGTCCCAAAGAGCCACAGTCTGCAGGAGGGACAGAGGCATTATACACATCTGCCAGATTTACTTGAGCTCTGTGGTAACACTGCAGTTGCATAATTGTGACAATATAATCAGTATTCATTTAGTCGTAAGCTAATCAAACGCAAATGATATCAAAATTATAGTCCATGCTGTGAATTCATGATTAAAATAACAACCAAGATGTGGTGGTACGTGTCATTACCTTGTCCGCGGAGCCAGTGGCAAGAATGAACTCACTGTAAGGGTTAAATGACAAACAGTTGACCTCTGCTGTGTGGGCATCGACTGCATGGCTGGGTTTGGAGGTATTGTTTGAGCGAGTGTCCCAGCTAAAGTGAAAAGAGGCGAGGTGGTGGTCAGCCCTTAGCGTTATTTGAAAGTTAACAGATGATCGAGTCAGCTCACATAACTTTTCATTTGAACTCCTTCAGCTGCCCATCATATTTGACTTGTCAGTGTGATTCTTACATCATGAGCTTCTGGTCATCTGCTACTGATCCAAAGAGTGACTCGTGAAGCAGGTGCCAAGAGACGTCTTCCACCACAGCAGTGTGACCTGTGAAGATCGTCTTTGCATCAACTATCTTGCCCTCCTTTGGTGCAGCGCTGATGTCCCACAGGCAGATTGTCTACAGATGAAGGAGTTAGACACCAAAAGCAACACATTATTTCACAACACTTCTTAATGTCATGAAAGGCAGCATGAGTTGACAGTAAAAATATGTGTCACTAAAACTGCTGGTGCAATAAAATGTCCAATATATGGACAGATACTTGATGTTATCTCTTAACAATTAAACTTGAAGCTTTTCTTACATGATCATCTGATGCACTTAGGAGAGAGCCTGACAGATTTGGATTCCATGAGAGACCATAGCCCTCTTTCTGATGGCCTCTAAGACGCAGATCAGGGTGACACTCTCCAGAAACATCTGTGGACAACAAAATTAATTCACTGTCCATTTTAACACTTTTTTTGTATTTTAAAAATTTAACAATCACCCCACTTTATTTTAACCAAAAGTTCAACAACATGTCACCGTCAGCAGTGCTTCTTAATACTGTGTGTGATCTATGTACCTGGCTTGGAGGGATGTTTGGTGTAGTCAAACACCAGCACATCCGAGGTGGGGGTCTTAGTGCCAATGATGCAGGGGTTCTGGGGCATATAGCGGGCACGGTTCACCTCTCCTTCATGGTTGATCTTGATTTCTATATCAATCTTGCCGCTGACTGAGCCAAAGCCTCCAAATTCTTCAGGGATATGCAACAAAACACAATTGTAATACACAGATTCCAACAAAGACAGCGTGCATTGTATCCACTGCATGGACCTGTTAAATATAACTAAAAAGCTGAACTGTCTAATATGCAGTTATTTGGCATGTACAGGTCACCAACCTCCTTTTTCACTGTCATAATGCGAGGTGTCAAACTGGGCATCATCATTGGGCAGCTGGACGCTTGCAATAACCAGGTGATTCTGCTCATCGGACGTGTGAGTGCCCAACACCAGTCGATGCACGCTGTAATCCTTCCCCTCTGGCCTGGTAAACAGAAAAAAGGTTTAATCACTTCCATTTAGTGAAAGCGTGCATGTTTGTATTTTTAAAGAATTACTACTGTCTCATTGTGTAAAAGTTCCTACCTGGAGACATCAGGCAGCCACTGAGCCGTGAGGCTGGGCCACTCTAAGGCATGGGTCATAACCAGGTCATAGAGAAAGGGAGTGTTTTTCTTCCAGATCTTGTATTCCTCGTTGATCACCCTCTCCTCCACTGCATCATCAAATGCACCACCTAGAGTGAATGAAGTAATGAAAGAAGCAGGATGAATGATTGGTTACACAACGACTTTTCAGTATATGTATTTAGTACAAACACTTGTGTGATATGGCTATAAAGATTAAAGATGCATTTATTGTGAATGTACATGAAAATACAATAAAATACCGTCAGCAATCTCTTACAGTATTGCCTTTACTGCCTAAGGTTGTTAGTTTAACAGCAAGAAAGCTTGTATCTCTCTGATAGTCAAGAATTTAGTCAGGGATTAATTTGGGCCAGAGACCACCTAAGATGATTTTCACCTCAAATCGTGCCCTGTTGTCAGTAAAACGCAACTTTGCCAACTCACATACTAACACGACACTTGTAATTTTCTTGCAAACTCTGCTGTGCCCTGAACAGACAAATGAAGAATGTTGCCTTATATTATTTTATTTTTTTAAACAGATATAACATCACACAGCAGGGCAATCTATACATGTAAAGTCTGTGAACTATTTACATCCTGTCATTGTGATCATAAGCAGCTTTATTGACCTAAACGCTTTAACTACACAGCAAACAGATGTTGTGGACAGATTCACAGCCGCCACGATGAAGTCACTGGGAACAAAGCTTTTTGTGTCCAGTATGAATTGTTGTATTATTTTTGGTTCTCTGTAACTTCAAAGTGCTTCACAGAGCTCATACTTTTGTTCTTCTTGAGAAGCATTTAACACATTGCAGCATCCAAACTACTGAATGGTACATTAAATACAAAGATGACATAAAACAAAAATGAGTTTGTAGTGGTACCTGACTATGTAAATAGCTATAGGGTTGAATTTGAGAGAGCCGACTCTGATATTTCACCCATACTATCGAGATAGAGGGTATTTAGATTTTAGTTTCAAAACAAAAGGCTTTAACAATGCTCGGCGTCAAAAACTCAGAAACGATTTTCATTTTCCCCCCTCAACAATGCACATCTATAAAACCTAACGTGTACAGTTTCCACATGAATTACTTTGGACTAAAGAATCAGTCCCATTTTCTCCTGTCTGCAGCCTGGTCTATGAGCCTCAAGGGCTCCCCGCCTCACAAATCCCAATATAGCACCGATGTGAGCAAATGCTAATGCTGCGACGCCATATCAACAACTGCGTGGATTGTCTTCGTAGCCAATAAAGGCCCCATAAATTAGCTGCCGATCCGACTAATACATATTGTGTCGCAGGATGTGGGTTTTCAGAAACATCTCACCGTGAAGTTTCCTGGCTATGTCGCGACAGCATTAGCATACCTATTAGACGTGAGAAGACAGCCATGCTAACCCTTTGTGTTCTGCTTAGGACAGACAATACTACACAAACTTGTGGGAACACTGTGAAAACAATAACCGAACCTTGAAACCGAGCGTGTAAACCTTCACAAATTGAAATTATACCTGGCTTGTGTTAATTAATAAGGGCTAGCATGAGGGATATAGCAGCTTCCTTTAGCTGCTACCTAAGCTAGCCGGATAGCTACCTACGACAACGCAGTTTTTTTTTTCATTGCTGGCCACAAGGAAATTAATCTTACCTTCTTTGTCTGCCATTGTCTGAATCTTCAGTAGCGACCACAACACAGAGACTCGCGGTAAATTGTGATGCGGTAGCAGTGAGCTTCGTCCCAGGCCGTCCTCCGGTTTGCTAGCTGACCGCCCCGGTGGTGTTTAAACCATAGTGTGAACGACGCTAAGCTAACAGCTAGCTAACCCAGCAGCCGGCTGTGGGAGAAGTGGGAGCATTCGCGCGCTCAGTACAAGCGCGAGGGACGTCTCTCCACCAATCACAGCGCAGGAGCTGAGCGCGTGCTGGTGATAACCGGCAGAGGGAAGCAGTGCTGCAGGAAATAAGATATTTGTTCATTGTCACACTTATAAACACACATTTATACGGTTAATAAATGAAAAACTAAAATGGATACACCACAGATTAATTCTTGATCTCATCCAATTCAAAGGCATATGAAATGAAATGAAATGAAATGAAAAATACTTTATTTATACCAGAAGGGAAATTCAATCTTGTAGTATAAGTATAAGTAATATATCTATTTACTTCTTTCAACAGTCCCCTAGTTTTTTGCCAAATTCTCAATAGCATGTGCTTTTTGTATCTTACCTCATCTCTGTTTGTTACCCTGAACAAAAAAATATTAACGCTGCATGTAATGTTTGATTACATTTCATCTGTTCTTTTCAACATAGGGGAATAATTGTTTGTTGTTCCAACACCCTGCATTTCTACAAGAGAACACAGGTCATGGAACGACAGAGTATGACTTGGAAATATAGATGGGCACATCGAGAGCGGGGTCAGAAACCACACTGAGTTAAGAGTATAATTTGCTTTTGCATAGACCTAATTACATTGTTGTCGTTGCTTGTGGAATGCTGAATCTTCTGAAGCAGATATTTTTGTGGACAAGACCACGTTGTTGGACACGTCCATCCAAGGCATTATGAGGCAGATTGTCTGTGCACCAAGCTGTCTGAAACCATTTCTTAGACAACAAATAGGGGATTTGTGGACATTCAAAGTCCTGGTTTCAGCCCTAACTGACAGCCAGCATCCAGCAAGTCAACAGCTCATCCTCACCTTTTTCATGTCATGTGTGGTATCTTTTCATTGGAACAAAGCTGCATTTTTAAAGTGGTGTTTAATAGTAGGTGATCAGAGGAGTTTCTGTGTCCTGGTCATACTATCTGATCATCATACTTTTCCTCAGTAGATGGTCGACATTTGTCATCAGCTGAACACCTCAGAAATGTTTTTGACATTTTTATTTTTTTTCCTCAAAGTCAGAAAAGTAGACCATTGTTTGCTTTGTTGACATTTTTTTCACTGTATTTGTACTAGAGCAAAAGAAGGTTATGAAAAGATGTTCAATGAGCATTTTATCCATGCTATGCTTCTCAAAACAAAAGGGGCAATATTCAGCTACAAGCCTTCCAAAATTTAATTCAGAGTTTTATTTGATTTGTTTGCAGGGAAACCCCTGGAAGCCTACAACAAATTACAAGTATGAAAAACATGTGGTATGTGGTAATTTGACATTTGCCTTTTAAAATATGCTTTCCAAAATAAAGATGTCAACAGTGCAAAATCCTTATTTTCAACAGGAATTTTAAGGAAATGGCACATAAACAAATCCTGGAATACATTCTATGTGTAAGTATTACTTGTGATCAGTTTAATTGTGATCCTTGGCCTAAAAGCACACTTAAATGCACGTGGAGCTTCTCAATTCCCACCGTTGCCGTGAGAAACACAACATTCCTTTACCTGCTCGCTATTGGTTAGCTGTGACATCACCGCTGGTATATGAGGCTATCTGATTGGGCACGCCAAGTAAACTGATCTCCTATTGGCTGAGGATAACGCGGGCCCTTAAAACGCCAAATATAGCTCAACGCAAGCTGTTGAAGCTCCCTGTCCGGAGTTGAGCTAATACAGCGGCTCCATGCAGTCACCATGTCAGCTACTGACATGTCCGGTGTGCTCGACACTCTCCGGCTCCTGTACCGGCACGTACAGACCCTGGAGGAGTTTGCGAGCAGCGTCGTGTTCAGAGAGGGACAGAGAGCAGTTCTCATCGAGCAGTCAGACACAAACCGCTTCAAATTGTTCGTCAGAGGCGTTTTTGTGTGTTTTGACAAGGAGCTACAGCAAATACCAAGCTGCAACCAGGTACCCTTTACCTTATATATATATTATATATTTACAAAATATCCTTCATGACAGTTTTACAGAGAGACATTTAATAGCTATTTCTGGAGAGTCTTTAAACAGTATAACTTGTGCTAGCTGTCATGCTAATTGTTAGTGGAGTTGNTTGTACTGCTATTAAAAACTATCACATGGAAGCACTTTGCGGACACAGTACAGTTGAAACCAGAACTTTACATACACTGTATAAAAAGACACACAACCTTTTTTTTTCTCACTATCTGACATTAAATCAGACTAAACTTTTCCTGTTTTAGGTCAGTTGGTAATAACAAAATTATTTGTATTTGCTAAATGCCAGAATAATGAGAGATAATTTTTTGTTGCTTCCTTCAAAGTCAGTAGTTTACATACATTTCCTAGTATTTGGTAGCATTGCCTTTAAACTGTATGACTTGGGTCAAATGTTTTGGGTATTCTTCCACCAGCTTCTCACAATAGTTTGATGAATTCTGGCCCATTCCTCCTGACAGAACTGATGGAACTGAGTCAGGTTTGTTGGCTGCCTTGCTCCACACGTCTGTTCAGCTCTGCCCACACATTTTCTACAGTATTGAGATCAGGGCTTTGTGATGGTCACTCCACAACATTGACTTTGTTGTCCTGAAGTCACTTTGTAACTAATTTAGCGGTATGCTTCGGGTCATTGTCCATTTGGAAGACCCATTTGCGCCCAAGCTTTCACTTCCTGGCTGATGTCTTGAGATGTTGCTTCAATATTTCCACATAATGTTCTTTCCTCATGATGTCATCTATTTAGTGAAGTTCACCAGTCCCTCCTGCAGCAAAACACCCCCACAACATGATGCTGCCACCCCCGTACTTCACAGTTGGGATGATGTTCTCAGGCTTACAAGCGTCCCCCTTTTCCTCCAAATGTAAAGATGGTCATTATGACCAAACAGTTCTATTTTAGTTTCATCAAACCACAGGACTTGTCTCCAAAAATGAAGGTCTTTGTCACTTGCAAACTTTGCAAACTGTAATCTGGCTTTTTTATGTTCTTTTTGGAGTAATGTCTTCTTCCTCTCTGAGTATCCTTTCAGCCCATGTCGGTACAGGCCTTGCTTCACTGTGGATAATGACACTCTCTTAACAGCTTCAGCAGCATCTTCACAGGGCTTTTACTTTTGTTCTGGGGTTGATACGCATATTTTGCACCAAAACACTTCATCTGTGGGACACAGAACCCGTCTCCTTCCTCAGCGGTATGATGGCTGGACATTCTCATGTCGTTTATACTTGTGTATAATTGTTTGATCAGATAAACGTGGAACCTTCAAGCATCTGGAAATTGCACCAAAGGATGAACCAGATTTGTAGAGGTCCACGATTCTCTTCCTGATATCTTGGCTGATTTCTTTAGATTTTCCATGTTGTCACAAAAGGAAGCAGTGTTTTTGAGGTGTGACTTAAAATACATCCACAGGTGTGTCTCCAATTACCTCAAATGTTGACCATTAACCTATCAAAAGCTTCCAAAGCCATGACATCATCATCTGGGCTTTCCCAAATAGTTTGAAGGCATAGTAATCTTGGTGTATGTAAACTTCTGACTTTGAAGATAGTAATAAAAAAATCTCTAAAAGATTCTCTCTCTCTCATTATTCTGGCATTTAGCAAATATAAATAATTTTGGTAACCCTAACTGACCTAAAACAGGAAAAGTTTAGTCTGATTTAATGTCAGACAGTCAGAAAAAAAGGTTTTATGTCTTTGTATACAGTGTATGTAAACTTCAGGTTTCAACTGTACCTACTTTTGGTCAACATCATCCATTTGTGGCAGGAATATTTCCAAAACAATGATGTTGTTTTAGTTTTTGCTACATTTTTAAAGAAATCTGTGAATACAAAAACCCTTAAATTGGAATAAATTATGTTCTGTCTGACACACTGCTTCTGAAGATTAGTCATGAAAATAGCGACCTCGCAAGTTGAATTGTGTCAAGCAGCAAAAAAGTACTAATAAGCTGTGTTTGCGTTAATTTGCCTCACTTCACATCGCATTTCCTGAGATGTGCAAACTACTACCCTACCAGGTTTATAGGACACTTTGAGAAGAAATAATTTTATGTTATCTAGAAGCAAAATTTAAACGAGCATGTCAGGATTTAATCACTTAATTGAGAGACGGTCTTTTCTTATGTTAATGTGATGTATTTTATGCTTTCCACAGATCTGCACTCTGCCTGAGCTCCTGGCTTTTGTGCTCAACAGCCTGAAGAGAAAAAGAAAAAAAAACGTCTTGGCACACGGCTATAGCTATCTCTCTCTGGCTCGGGAGGATCGGGACGCTGATCAGTTCAAATTCCAAGGCGATGTGACTCAAAGTGCTGCCTACATCCACGGCAGTGACCTGTGGAAGAAAGTCACGGTTCGTCTCGGCACAGACCTCACACGGTACCTTCTGGAGAGATGCTCTGTGTTTGTGGCAGTTCCTCCGTCATGTGTTTTCCAGGTGTGCGGTCTTCCAGTCTATGACAGAATGTCCGTGACCACCGCCTCCAGTGGGTTTTCTCTCCAGCTTCGACAAAGGAAGCATAATTGTACTCTGTCTCGAAGGTATCAAAGCTCAATGATTTTGAAAAGGAGGCACACAGTGGAGAATCCTGCAGTGGGTAAGAAGAGGAAGGGAAGGAATGTAAGAGCAAAGATGAGGAAAAGACAGAGGAGAACTGATGAAGATGAGGAGGACATTATGACTTGTTCAAGAAAGAGGAGCCGTGTGGCATACCATGAACACAAACAGAAAATTCAACAGGTTTGCGATGAGAGAGTGGAGAAGGGACAGCCCATGCCTGTGGAATCAACACTATCTATGAAAACTATGGAAAATAGCGCGACTGATTTCAAACAGTCCGTTGAAATGCCAACTACTTTACTTCCCTTGGAGGGTGGTTCTTGCTGGAAATCAGGGATTTTCCCTCCTTTGCCACCTTCACAGTGTTTTTTCCGCACACTGGGATTCATGTACGGAGGCAGAGGCATGCGAGGCTTCCTTCTCAACAGGAGGAAGAAGAGCGCTGATGTATCCAGAAGGCTGCAGGGGCAAGATTTGGTAAGAGTCATCTTCTTTGAAGGACTGGTTTATTTAAACGGGCTAGAGAGGAAGCCAAAAAAACTCCCTCGGCGCTTCTTTAACATGGTTCCGCTGTTTAATCAGCTGCTACAACAACACAGGCGATGTCCCTACAGCAGAATACTGCGGAGGATGTGCCCAGTGGTTGAGGAGAGCAGTGCAGCACAGGGAGAAATTAACTCCCTCCTACCACAGTACTGTGCGCCTCACCGGGTCTACCTGTTTATCAGGGATTGCCTCTCTGCTGTGATCCCACTAGAGCTGTGGGGCTCCGACCAAAACAGAATTAATTTCTTAGCCAGGGTGAGAGGCTTCTTGCGCAGCGGCAAATTTGAAAGACTCTCACTCGCTGAACTGATGTGGAAAATGAAGGTGAATGACTGCGATTGGTTGAAGATCATTAAAACGGGTGAGATTATCGTTGATGTTTTTTTTTTCCTTCTTCTTTTTTGTTGTTTTATGTATTTCGACTGATGTAACCAAACATTTCCCATCCACAGGTCATTTCCCACCCAGCGAACTTGCATATCGGACACAGATCCTGGGTCAGTTTTTGGCCTGGCTACTGGAAGGCTATGTTATGGGCCTCGTTCGAGCCTGTTTTTATGTCACAGAAAGTGTCGGGCAGAAAAATGCCATCAGGTTCTACAGACAGGAAGTCTGGACCAAACTGCAAGACTTGGCCTTTAGGTATACACACACGGTAGTCACCTACAAAGACCCACATTCATGCAGCAATGGGACGTCAGCTTACAAAATAATTGTCATGCAGGGCTCACCTCTCCAAAGGCCAGATGGAGGAGTTGACTCCAGCTCAGGTGGCATCCCTCCCCAAAGGCACCGTCATCTCCCGCCTTCGCTTCATTCCCAAGACTGATGGCATGAGACCGATCACACGAGTCATCGGAGTAGATTCCAAAACAAGGGTACACTTTGACGATGGCATTAATGTTCACCTGAACACATACATGAGTTGTTCATTATTTCTTTTCCTTGCAGCTCTACCGAGGACGTGTCCGGGATTTGCTGGACATGCTGCGAGCCTGCGTGCGCTCCACTCCGTCCCTCCTGGGCTCCACAGTGTGGGGGATGACGGATATCCACAAGGTGTTGTGCTCTCTGACGCCAGCCCAGAAGGAGAAACCACAGCCTCTCTATTTTGTCAAGGCGAGTTGTTAACACTTAATTGTCTTGGCAGAGGATCTTACATCATGAGAATGAGTAGTATTTTATGCAGTCATATTCATTTGAATGATAATGCAGCTACAAATCAGGGGTTTTCCAGGCTAAGAATGAACCTTTGAGTGTGACTTTGCACAACAGCAAGCATTAGTCCGTGTTCAGTGAGTGAAATCTATGCATTTTCTGTTATTTCTGACCATTTGATAAGCACAAATGTCTTTCGTGTTTGACTAAATGAAACCCCAGTTGCTATTTTTTCTTCTTTATTCTTAGCATTTTGTTGCTGGGGATTTTTTGGTGGTTCATTCTGCCTTTTCTGTGTGTTAAAGGTGGACGTGAGTGGAGCCTATGAGAGTCTGCCACATGACAAACTCATAGAAGTGATTGGCCAGGCCCTGTCACCTGTCCAGGAGGAGCTCGTCACCATCCGCCGCTATGCCAAGATCTGGGCAGATTCCCACGAAGGCCTGAAAAAAACCTTTGTTAGACAGGTACAGTCATACCCACAAATATGCTCACGTAAGAACATATGCACACACTATTTGACCGAGTTTTCGTTTTTGTTGACACAGGCAGATTTCCTGGAGGATAACATGGGATCCACCAACATGAAGGGGTTTCTGATGTCACTGCAGAGAGCAGGCAAAGTTCATCACGCCATCTTGGTAGAGCAGGTGGCTCCTCATATATGTTCGTTTAGGTTAGGATCATTTATACTTTTTTAACAAACCATGCTCATCACACTTAAACATATTACTTTTTCTTTGTCACAGCATTTCTGCTCAGATCTTCATGGCAAAGAGGCCTTGCAGTTCTTTACCCAAATGCTGACTGGCAGTGTTGTTCAGTACGGGAAGAAGTAAGCTCTGCATCCTACTACATTTAAAAAAACCAAACAAACCTGTGTGCATCTGGTCATACCTCATCAGTGAATGTGACCACATTCTTTTTCTCTTGGGATTTGTTCTTGTTTGTCTGTGTTACAGGACGTACCGTCAGTGTCGAGGGATTCCTCAGGGATCAGTTGTGTCTAGTCTGCTCTGCTGTCTCTGCTACGGTCACATGGAGAATGTGCTGTTCAAAGACGTTATTCAAAAGAAAGGGTACAGCAAACCGTCCCTCTGTGTTTGAGATGTAACAACAGATCAGGAGCAGAAGAGGGCAGTCTTTCTGTATTGTAGTTTTGTTTTGTTTTTTTTAATCTACTGCGTGTGTTATTGTGTCTCTCGCTGTTCCTTGTAGGCGTTTGATGAGACTTGTAGACGACTTCCTACTGATCACACCAGACCTGCACGAAGCACAGACCTTTCTCAAGTATGACACACTCAACCTTTGTCACACGTTTTACTTTTCATGTGACACCAGGCCTCTCAACCACTGTTTTTGATAGAGATTTATCATCTTTATAGATTTTTCCAATATCATGTTTACTTAAAATCTTCAGAAAATATGTTATAATGTACATTAGAAATCAGATTGAAAGTAAATTATGTGAAAAGTTAGATGCGATGGAGCTAAATTAATTTATTTTAAAAAAAGAACTTGTTTAATTGTCTGCCATTTTTTCTTCCCAGTAGAATTATTATGGACAGCTGGAGCTGTTACAATATTAGATTTTTACTACA